CGAAAAAGCAGTTGCATTTCAGTAGCATCCAAAAGGATTCTAGTTCCATTACAAGCATTCTTTAATAATGCTAGACAAAAGCTACAGAGAAAGAACCTAAGACAAATGGTGCACAGTTAATTAGCATTTATTGAATGATAAATAATAACTGATGAGGCCTTCTGAATATTCCAAATAATACTCAAAATATTTCAGACCATTGTATATAAAATAATCCAACCATAAAATTACATACTCACAATTTGTAGCTGCCTAGAAAAATCTGATTTATTAACTTGATTTGTATCTAGAAGAAACAGTATTCCAGAGTCTGAATTAAACTGTGCATGACAAAAATGAACCATCTGAACTTTTCTTACTACTTAGCTGCCTTGTTTTCTTTTCTAAACAGCCAGCTGGAGAGAGCTTTTGTTCCTCTACAACAAGCATGCAACCATTTTGTGCATAAAGGAATGACTACAAGAAAAATGTTAGCATAATTTCAGTTCTGTTTTATGACACAGATGTGTGTGTGGATGCAAGCATTACTGGGTTGACTAAACCCATCCTTTGACAGTATGTTTTACATACAATTTCCTAAGGTAGAGAAACACTGAGTCAGAATTCCAAGGAGTCTGTTCAAGCCACAGAAGTAAGGTAATTTGTGTCATCATGATTCTCTTTTTTCCATTCCTGATAGAACCCTCTTCTTGACTACTTATCTGTACCAGTCACATTCCTTGACGAATTTTATTCAATTTCAATTTCTAATCAACTTTTTTACTACTCCTACTATCTCATTAAGGAATCATGGAATCCCTCACCCAGAATCTCCAACTTTCTGATAAAAAAAGAATTACTATTCAGGAAAGAAAGTGGTAATAAATCCCCCCAAAAAACTATTAAGAAGAACGAGATGCTCAGAAAGGGGTAATCAAATTCAGTGGCATCTCAGCAATTTCTTAAAAATGAAAAAGTTTTTAATTCCTCATTCTTTTGTTTCACACACTTGCTTAAAGTTGTATCTACATGCCAGTCTCTAATTTCCTCATAATTTACTGAATTTACTGTCTTCTTAAGACATGTATGTATTGATTATTCAGGGAGGTTCTAATGAGCTTTGTACTTCCTTTTATTCTGCTTATGCGAATTTTCAATCTGTCAGGCAGTTTGGTTTTTTACTTCCATCAGTTACACTCAGCTTTTACTGTTTTGAAGCTTTCTGTATAAAGTGCTCCTTTGGTCTAGAAATGGTTAAGAAACACTCTCTACCTTAAAGCTACACAGTCTCTTCAAAAACTTTAAATGAAAGTCAGTAATCAGTGGAGGTTACTAACGCATTTTTTTAAAAAGAAAACAACAAACCACCAGAAAAACCACTCTGCTTGACTTAAGTAGCCTTAAAGCATCAATATTCAAATCTTATTCAATATCATATGCCACTATAGAATCATAGAATCACAGAACAGATTGAGTTGGAAAAGACCTCTAAGATCATCGAGTCCAATCCCTGATCCAACTCCAATTACTATATCATGGCACTAAGGGCCACATCCAATCCCTGTTTAAAAACCTCCAGGGATGGTGAATCCACCACCTCTCTGGGCAGGCCGTTCCAATGCCTGATTACCCTCTCTGTAAAGAATTTCTTCCTAACATCTAACCTAAACCTCCCCTGGCAGAGCTTGAGCCCATGTCCCCTTGTCCTATTGTTGGTTGCCTGGGAGAAGAGACCAACCCCCACCTGGCTATA